TTAGCGTTAAGGAAACATGGAAATGCTTAAAAATAACTAGACCAGTCATTAGGCACGTAATGTACTTTGTATAAAATTAGAAGCATTCAAGACAAACGGGTCGAATGATTGTTGAAATACATCAAAAATATCTTTTACAGCTGTATTACGTATTACGTTCACGTTTCGGAATTCGTACTAGGTAGAAGAATAACGATTTGTTCTGAGCCTGAACTACGTAGTGGGTAGGCAGGATGCAAGTTCCTACTATAAGTGGAGTCGCTGGTCTTTCAGTTCCTGAGATTTCACATTAAATTCATATTTCACTGCAAAAATATAGAGAGTGCGTGGGTTCCATGTAATCATAATATTCCAGATGATTGTCGATGATGACGAAGGTTTCTCTGGAGTGTAAAAAAACTGTTCGATCTGTATAGGAGCAGATCATTTAAGCGATAAGTGTTAACATATTATAGTCATCGGCCTTGCGAAAAGGCATGTACCTCAACACTGGGCTTTTAGCTGGACGACTGTGGGTTAATTTTGTATGAAAATTTCATTCAAATTCAAGCGGTTCATTCCGTGTTTATAGACAGGCCAAGGATTAGCTGACAGACAGACGAGCAGACACAGACCTACAGACAGGCAGACCGATGGAAGTGAGGGACATGGTTGTTGTTGACGTACATGTTATGTAATATTATTCTAGAAATTTTTCGTGATTACAATACTTCCTCGCCAGTAGGCGTGGAAAGTATAATGTAGGGGGCTATCACGCGGACATACAAGCTCCCAAAGATTATCCTGTGGTTGTCTCGCTGATTACAGTACTTCATGGGGAATGTTAAAGGTTCACTCACGTTTAGGCCACCTCAATGACTTCTAAAGTACAAACTGTTTTCCGAGTTACAAAATGAAAAAGACTGCCAAGGTTTCAGAGGCAGTAAATCTTTTAATTCAACACGTGTGGGGTTTCATTTGTCGGGCAGTTTGATCTCCATAAAATAGAAAATCTTTCTAGGTTTTACATTACTTTACAATTAAATGTGTCTTCACAAAATTAACGTTGCCTTTGTCGAGATGAGATTGATGGACAACGGCGAGACTGCCCCAGTAAATATCTTGGTATTTATTAAGAGAATAGATAGTTTCGGCAATGACAGATTACGCAAACACTGTGGGATTTAATTCACATGAATTAACGACTTAAATATAAAAAAAATGCTAACGCTTACGTATACCCTATTTGATTGCCAATACTCCCTAATCACCGGTGTGCGACTTTTCTATCTATAAAACGTCGGAGAATTAAAAGTGATAGAATTGCGCCCACTTCCTGCCAGTTATTCTACCTCCTTCTCTCTGAAAATTAGTCTCCAGGTCTTACCTTTATTGTGTAGCTAAAAAGTGTTCTGATCAACATCATAGCAGAACATGCAATCCAGAAAAAAACCATAGACACTGCTACGACATGGTGCTTTTCGTGACTACTTCCAGGTTAGAACAACCCATTACTTATGCACCCTCGCCTTTGACACAGATGATTCGGATGATGCATTGATATTAGGTTCTGTTCGCCGGGCTATCAGGCAATATATTGCCGGAGGGGTAACTTTATCGTCGCTTTTACATGTAAATGCGCCACAGCTTATGCTGCTGGTATTAGATTATATCGCTTAGTTTATCCCAGGTGGAAGATGGAGCACGCCGGCAGCTTAGAATAGTGGGAAGGGTGTCTTATTTGGTTAGGCGGATTATTTACTTAGCTTTTTCAATCCTCAAAATAGTATGCTTGCTAATTGTAAAGGGTAGAACAAGAATCAACTTTCGTTATCCATATAATCAGTGCAATTTTTCCACAGAAATCGACACTGCACTCGATATATATAGGATGCCGGAAAGTTAGGACTTTCCTTTGCCCGATCTTGAAAAACTAAACGGTTTTTCCTAGTAGCCAAAGCTTGAAGGTAAACGAAATATTAGGCTCCGAAAAATGAATCAAACCTATGAAAAACTTCTGTATCTCGATCAGATCAATAGTGAGAAGGCAACCCAGGCGTCGGTAGCGTAGGTAAACAAAACATTTATTCACCAATCGGTTCGAAAAAAAGGCGCTCTAGTACAGCAATATCGCAACGTATCGACACGACTTTAATTTATAGTGAGCATTTTGAAAATGCTACCGAGGCCTCGTGAGTGTATGCAGACCGCTTTCCCAGACGTTGTCATTGAATGTTACAGAGTTAGAATTGTAGAAGAAAATCCTTCAGCAAGCACTAGAGAAGTAGCTAAGCAAGTGCAAGTCTCCAAAACTAAGGAGTGCTAAACGCTGTGCGATGATAGAATGCCTTTTTGTACAAGGCGTCCAAGCTGAGGATTTTCCTGCAAGAATGCGTTTCTGTGAGTGGTTGTCGCGTAATGGGGGAAATCCTCACGTATTTTGTTGTTCACATTTTCAACAAACATTTTTTTAATTTTCTCGTATTGGCTGGAAGGTTCGCAAAACATTTTATTAACGGCGACAACTTAGACAGTTCACTTTACTGTTATTCCAAACGTAGTTGTTTCTAAGAAGGGAAGTCAGAATCTGTCACTAACACGCCTGAACCATAATATGCACACCTACAATTTGAAACCTTAGGAAGGTTATAAGCATGGTTTTATCTGCAAAATCATCGTTGAAATGCACTCAGATGTAGAATTTAGAGCTCGACACAAATCTGCTAGTATCTGAACTTACAAACTTAAGCTCGAAATTACCTCTAGGTCCTATTTGAGGTTCTCGACAAATTGCTTTGCTGAAATATTCTACAAATAGCCGGACACTTGTTCCATGCTTAGCATATACCATGTTTAATGAGCTGGTTAAAGGAGTAGTTATTCAAGTTTTATTTCAAGTAAACCACAGGAACTGAACCAAGATGAGAGATTCTGTTATTTTCCTGAGAGTTGTCAAAATATCTACTTTTCTTGTACTGAATTTTCCTTCTCTTCGTCTGGTGTATTAACCTGGGAATCAGTTGTTGAGTTCAATAGAATTGAATCTTCACTGTAGAATGTTCCCAAATTCTGACAGCATCTGACGTTAATCAAACAAGCTGGTGAATGCATCAATTTTTGGCAAAATTATATGTTCTCAGGTTCTTCATATCATTAAATATTTCAACAGAAAGTTAAATTTTTCTTAGGGAGAAGACTGATTTATTGTGGCGAGACTTCCGCATTTTTTTTCTCGAGAATAACTCCTATATCAGTGTCTAGGTCTTTTTATGGTTTTGGCGGGTCTTAGTAGAATTATGAGGATCGATCGATCAAACGAACTCATCTGTGAAGTTCGATCGCAATTATATAAAGTGTACACTCAGAAGATATTTACAAGATACACACCAGAGGCGTACTAGCTTGTGAATATCTTGGAAGTGGACACTGGTACAGAATTACTTTCATTATCCGGTCTATCTCGCACATTACATATTCAATCCGCGTCTATGCGCGGGTGATTGTGTAAACTCAAAGACAGGCGCTTTTTTGTTTTGGCTCAGCACCTTGAAAATGTTCTCGCTAACGTAGAGTCGTCCACTGTCAGTATGACAACTTGCTTGTCATGAGCGTCTGACTTGTTTACCCATGTGGATCTTCGACATAAAACATAGTAGCGCCTGGAGATACAACTACAATGTCGACAATCTGCATTAGAAGTATTTTAAGAAAGCTAGTGAAAGCAATAGTCCTCTATCACCCAATTCATGTGCATCATTTGCCACAGTACAATTTCCCTATGGAATTGTGACGTAACCGCTAAAAACCATGATAAAACTATAATTCGCTGAAAGGTAATAGAACCCACGCCCACTTTCTATCAGTTATTCTGCTTGCTGGTGACAGAAAGAGGTTGAAGCATTATTTTTATTATGGCTGTACCTTATTTAAATTGTATATACACCTTGTCACAGGAAACATTGCTGGTCTTATTGCTTATTATTACAGTAACGCGAGAATTTGGCGATTGAAAAGTATTCGCTTTGGTGTAGCATAACACTTATGTGAATAGCAACAGTAGTAGTACATTTAGCCAAATTTCAAACTAAAGTTCAAATGACATGTCAAAAGAAAAGTAGTTTAATAAAAATATCACAATAGATGTGAATATAATACAAAGTGAGTTAACAGCGTTTGTGACACCACACTATAAATAAAACAAGATAAAAAAATACAAGTTCATTCAGTAAGATTATATAGGCAATAAGGTGACTAGGGGTTTTGTTACACTAAGGTCAAAACTAGAGAAAAATAGATACTTGTTAGAACACTATATAAAACATTTAGAATAAAAACATAATGCTTACTGATTAGGAAAATTAAAAAATTTATTTATAGAGTAAAAACATTTATCACTTAAATATGTACGTAAAAACCTCATTTTTAAATTCCATATATATCTCGCAGATCTCGGACTAGAGTACAATGATATGCAGTTCTAAGATGATTTGCTTTCAAAATGGAATTTCTGGTCTTATAGGTATGCTGAAATCTTTAAAATAAGATGTACCCATTCACACAGAAATTGTAGGGGATATAGCATAGCATGTTTGGTCAAAGTTCCATGCTAAGATTTTTATCGTGCAACTCTTAGCAGTCACTTGCGTTTATGCTTTGCACAACTTATTCGGGATTTTTAGAAAAGATTTCTTTTGAGTTGTACAATGATGATGCGCTGTAGGCAGTCGACTGTGCATACCAAGAAACGGTCAGTCATAGGTCAGTATATAGTAAACATAATAAGTAGGACCGAACTAAGCTCTATCTATGATAACATGATACAAATGTTTCGTCCTTAGTTTCACCTCCTGATGTCAAAAGAAATGCTAATAGCACCTCCCTATATACTATCACGATGGTTGTGCCTATCTACTATGTGGGTTTATTTCAGTGAGTGAAGAAGGCAGTAAAACTGGAAAAAAGTCTTTATTTAGTAAAATTTCGAAAAATGTAGATAGATAAAATATCACAGATAAGCAATAATGACAGTTTGTGTTTTATTCCAGAATCCTCAGCAGCGGCAGTACCCATCGATGATGCCCCCTCGGCACGGCGGCGTTGAGGAGTACCCTCCGCGCGGTATGTACCGACCGTCCCCTGCCCAGATGGTACCTGGCAGTACTGGGTCCACGGGTGGCAGCCGTGTGCGTCCGATGGGTGGCAATCTTCAGTCTTCCTTAGGAGGTAACCCTGCTGCGTCCAGGCGTCACCTCCAACAGCAGGGACTTGGAGCCAGACGCACCTAGGCAGGTACAGAGAAGCGATGAGTTAAAGATGGTAGAGTTGAATTTGTTGTTCGTTATGTTGCAAAATTCTTTATCATTTACACGGTTAGTAGTATTTTGTCAGGATGGTTGTCTTGAAAGAAAAAGTGAGTCCCAATTTTGTACTCAGTGTAAGGTATGAGACAACTATCCTGGCAAATTATCCATTGTTCGCAAGTTTCATACAAATGTTTGCAACATTCAAATAATGAAATATTTCTAACAGTAAAATTTTGGCATATAACTTCGTGTCAGCTTCCACTAGGGGATGGCATGGGAGAGAACTGAAGAAGAAAATTTCATTGTGCGCTGGCCGTCAAGCGATATACATTTATTATAAATTATCTACAGAGAACTTATTAGTTGAGAGTTTCTGATACTCCGTATATAGTTGTTAATAGTGACTCAAGATTTAAATCCATGAAACTTGCTGTTGTTTTAGGCTAACCGTGGTTTAAGGTCAGAATGTAGGAATATTTTCTATCGAATTATAAATATCTTAAGTTTTCTTTGATTTATATATTGCTAGCAACTTGATATATGTATAATAATAATGTATTTTCTACAGACTGACCTATCTAGTTATTTCTTAAAATTAAAAGTTCAAAAATGGTGTTTGAATAAATTTGGAATTCTATTGTTAAAGTGTTAATTATAATACATAGAAAAAACGTATTTGCCATTTTCTTTTTAACGAACAGCAGAAATGGTGAATATAAACAACCTTCAGTTTTTTCGAAAAATTAGATGCCCAGCTGAGTTATTTGAGCGCTATTTTCTGGAACCTACATCATTTTTCGACGTTATTTACTTTATTGAAAAATGTACAATGATATCTTGGACTTGAGTAATAAAAGCTGCATCCGAAGTTATAAGCTGATACTTCATACAATACACTGAAGGAAGGAGCATACAGGAGTATGATCAGAATAGGTAGGTATCTGATTGTTTGTTCTATGTATTCACACTACCTAAGCACGAAATTTCATGTTTATATTTAAATAATATCATATGCTCAGAGGGACCACAAAATTAATTACTCAAAATTCCTAATTCGAGAAGCAATCAAGTTAACCTATTGAAATAATAGAGAGCTATCGCCACTGTTAGGGCTAATAATGCCCACCAGAGACGGCAGAGGAGAGCATCGAACTGGATTTTTCCCGGCAGTGCACTCTACCATGGCGTGGCATGCCGGCGCCCTCCATCGTGGAATCTCACGGTATGCTCTCCGACGCAGAGAGAGAAAATCTCCGCTTGCGGTATTTAAGAGTGTGCTATAGGAAGTGAGTATATGCCGAAGCATCCTTAGCTGTCGGGCTATATTTATATAGTATCGTAAAATGCCGGATATTCGCCATATTGCAGGGAATGATTCTTGTCTGTGTACGGTGCCTTTCAAATGCTCTTTTCTGTCGTTTCCTAGAGTGCGATAGAATCTTCACGCTACCGATTTTTTGAACGGATCGACTTAGCAAGCTCAATTTCTGGGAGACGCAAACTTGGATGACTATTTTGACGTGAATGTGACAGATGATATCTCCAGGATGGCGGCCATGCGCCATTTTGGGGCATTGTTTTTAAATCGATGGGAGGTCAGGTGATACCTCATTTTGCAGTTCCTGGTGAGTAACTTATAATTATGTGAAATCTATATCTTTTAAAATGGTGGATTGGCAGACTATACTGAATCGCTTATTACTCCAACAAATTTTTTAAACTGAATAAAATACGAGTACTACAATAACATTTTGATGAGTTATAACTGATTCAATGTACAAGGTCAACTTTTTCAGCCTGCAAGTAATTTTGGAAGATAGTAACTGTGCATGCTAGGGTATTAAGTACTAACAAGGAGCTTTAAAACGAGGTATCATATGAGCTATGATTCTATTTAGATAACAGTTCTAAGATGGATCTGTAAATTTGTTTCATGATTCTAAATCTCAGTTTGCCAACTTGATCTGTTCAAAAAACACTGTTTGAAACTTAGAGTGAAAAATAATAAATTACGTTAATACAAAAATAACCAGTACTATCTTTATCAGTTGTTTTTAGAAAATATTCCAACTTCATTTGCGTGAGTTAGATTACTTTTCATATCTCGTAATCAAATTAAATTTTTTGTTGTTTCTGGGCATACGAATGGCCGTAAAGTACATACGAAATTTTAAATTGAAATCGCCAGCCAACCAACGCGCTCCGGATGAAAATTTCGGGCGATTTACCCGCAAAATAATTTTTATGTAAAACGAGGGCCTGTTTAAAATACGAGACGTAATCCGTCAAAAATCTATCTGCAAACACTCCCTCATGGATTTTTATTCAAATTCTGATAAAGTATGTATCCTGTTTGTAGTAGACAAGGCGGTAATCTCGTATTATTGAGAAGAATTTCCCGTCGATTATTCTCGTAATGATGTTTATTGGAAGTCGGTGCAAATTCGTTTAAACATTTTTAAACAAACAAATGTTTTTTTTTGTTTTGGACAAAGTTTCTTCAGTTTTTTTTTAATTTTTTTCTGAAGCTAAGTAAAGTCTGACAAATCCAAAAATAACTATTTTCAATGCTTAAAAACACAGCTAAAAATGATTGTATTCGAGGTGTCAAAATAATCTAACTAAAGTTCAGGCTTGTCCATATGAAGGTATTTAGCATTTAATCGCCAATAACGGGCTATGGGCCACACGTGCGTCCTTTTATCGCAAGGAATTTGCGCGAATATGTGGCAATAACCTTCAAATACTCTTCGGCCTCTTGCAACAAAACGTTTGAACCTCAATCTAGACACTTGGCAACGTTAGTAATTACCTTAAGCCACGTTTTTAACTATCGAACATGACCATATTTAGGGGTTTTCTCACTTTTCACCGCTTTTAGTTCAAAAACTGTCAGTAGTAGTGGTGGGGAGGGAAAGTCAAGCCTCTACTCTACATGTTAGTTCACTAATTTGTTGTAGCTTTCTGATCTCTCAATAAAGGATGTCCGACCATTCCACTGAGTAAGCAACTTGGCCATCCAAGGCCTCGAATATCTCAGAAAGTCGTAAGCGAACCGAACCAAAAAAGCATTCTTTTTGTAAATTGTCAAAAAAAAAATGATCAAAGTAACTTTTCCATCGGATGACCGCCCAGAGATAATGGAAGTAAAAATTGAGTCAGCAAATTTCTCTCAGAAATGCGAGATTTGCACCTAGTCTATAATGTTCAGAGCAATTTGCACTGTACCATCACTTTTTATTAAAGTGTACTGCATAAAAAATAAAAGATGCTTCAGTATTGATGCGCTGATCGATAAAATTGTTTGACTAACGTTCAGCGCGCGGTGGTTGAGCAACGTTCATTAAATAGTATCGTACTTTAATGACTGTGTTATCATTATTAGGTTCTTAGAAAGCTAGGTTATGTGGTACATGCAGGTATACTTGGTAATCGGAAGACGACAACGCAACTGCCATCTATTAGCTGAGCCGGCCATTGCGCAAGTGAACTAATTTATGTATTGGAACAGTACTTAATTGGTGTCGACGATTCTAATAACCTTAACTTCCTGATAATTTTTTGATAGCTACAATACTTGTTTGAGCACCAAGCTTTTGATCGTGTTAGGGTGTAGTGAGGATTTTGTTTCAGGTGATTAAGGATTTCGAAGTTTGCTAATGCGTGCGTATATCAATAATGACGGTCGAAGGATATAAAAGGTATTTCATAAATACGGAACAAAGTTTAAGGTGGATTCTTAGACTAGATATGTAGATGTATTTAGAGATACGGTTTTCTTAAATAACGTTTGAACAGCACCAGGTAATTCAACAACATTTTGATGTCATAGAGGCTAGTTAGAGCCTCACATCATGGTGTACACAAAAAATAATTAGTTGCTAATTATTTTAGAACATATACAACAATGAGTCAAGGGGTAATATTTATAAAAAACTTATTTATCTGAAAAAAATTACTCTTGTTTGATTTTGGTAAAGTGGATCATTTGTGAGAATAAGAATCTTGTTTCAATACTACTCTAAGCTTTTATCAACATTGTCCATTTAATTTTGCTGCTTGATTGTTTCTGAAAAGCCCAAAGTCGCAGTTTTGGCATTTCTCTCGAAAATTCGCCCATTTTACAATACTTAATTTAGTATTTTCATATGAGCACATTACTGCAATATTTTCTACTTCAAATCTATAATAAAATACAAAAATAAAAGACATATTAAAAATGAAAATGTTGCTCCACTGAGCTCGTATAAAAAACAAAATTTTTTGTTCTTGATGTAACACATTGGAGCAGCTTCTTTATTTTTATATAATTTGTGTCTTGCCCTGTATCATTATAGATTTCAAGTACAAGCCTTTCATATGAAAAACTTGAGTATTCGATATGGGTAAAGATTGAGCACAAATGCCAAAACTGAAAACTTTGGGCTATTGAAAAACAACTTCTAAAATAAAACATAAAATGTTGATTAAAGTTTAAAATAAATGTTCTAAAATATTTATAAGCATATCATGGATCTGATGACGTCGGAATTTGAATTATTTTCAGTGCCAAAAACCCTGCTTGTAGGCCCTGATCCTTCACTCGTAAATTTTTCGGGTCCCTGAGCACAAACTTGTTTACGAAACTAAAGGGTGAGCCATCCGTTGGTTTCTTTTTTAAATTGGTATTAAAACTATACTCTTCAATAATATGTATCACACGATACTTTATTCAAAAGAATACACCTTCCGATTCTTTATGAAAAACAATTTCAGTTAAATGGCTGCCGCGGCTGGCCTGGCAGTAGTCCATCCTTTTAACACAATTTTGAAGCACATTTTCGATAGTTTGTGGGTCTATTTCACCAATAGCTCGAGGGATATTTTCCTTAAGAACATCAATTCTTTGAGGATCGTTAGTGTAACAGCGGCTCAACAGTACCCTATAGGAAGTAATTTATGGGCGTCAAATCACAGCTGCGGGCTGGCCAATGAACGTCTAG